GGGGGGGGGGGGGGCTGCGCACTTCCCCAGGTTTGGAGACAGAGACACTGCTGGGGTTCCTTGGGATTGCACGGGCGTCTGACCTCTATTGTCATGTGGGCTTTGCACCTTTCAACCGTGGCGTCATGTATCAGCCTGCCTCCCCTGCTGTGCAGACTGCCGCTGGATGATCCCAAGCGCTTCAGGGTGGAGGTGCTGTTCAGGTGGGAGAGTGTGGCGGGGCAGGCAGGATGTTCAACTGTGCTCCATGTTCCGTTTTGTTGTGCTGATTGGCTTGACTCAAACCGCTGTGCAGCCCGGGCGCCGCGTATGACCCCACCGAGGTGATCCCGCCCAAGAAGGACCACGTGCTGCCGGTGGCGCCCCGCGTGCCACTGCACCCCGATGGTGAGCAGCCAACGGGGCAGGCAGCCAGGCAGCCTGGCCTGCAGGGTGCATCTTGGCATAACCGGTTTACACTTGTGCCACCTTTGCCGTCATGACGCCTCTGTGCGCAGGTGCCAACGGCGTGCCTTTAGCTAGGATGGAATCGATGGTGAAGTCGTTCGCCAAACCGTTCAAGCGGCAGGGCGACCCGTACGCCCCTGGCCTGCGCTCTACCGTGCTTAGCACCCAGCAGAGCGAGGCAGCAGCGGCGGGGGTGGTGGCTGGCGAAGGAGAGCTGTACCAGCAGCTGACATAGCACACTTAGCAGCTGACCTTTTGTGAGTGCGTCTGCACATGTTTGTGATGGAACACTCGGCTGGCCGCACGTGGCATTTTGCATGGCAGGAGCAGATGGTCTAATGAAACCGCTCCTTTTGATTCACCTGTGAGCGGCTGCTCCACTGCTGTGCCCCCAGTAGGAGCCTGGGCCCTGGTTGTTCTGGGGTCCCCCCATGACTGATGTGCCAGTTGAGCCCTCCTGGCTACGGCTGTCGACTGTAAGTGAGCTTACAAGCGCCCATCGGTAGTACATCACTAGTACACAGGAGTGATTACACCGTCCCCATCAGTAGTACACCGGAGTGGCTATGCGGCAGCCCCAGAAGGCGTTGTTCTTGCACTTGAAGCATGTGCCCTCGCACTCGCCCGACGTGATGTACACCTTGCAATCGGCTTGCGTCTGCGCAGGGCAGGGCATGACTGGGATTCAATTAGAATGCGCCCCCATGCTGGGCATCCACATTTCGCAGGGCCGGTTTCTCTTGCTCACAGTGAATGTGTTCAGCACCGTAGGGTCCATGTCCATGCAGACCCAGTCAAAGCCCTCCTCCATGCAGTCCTGGCACGGGTCGGAGCACATCCGTGGCACGCACTCCGTCTGCTCCAAATTGGGCACCTGCACGTGGCGGCGTCGGCGACAGGGCAAGCAAAGGGGGTTGCCAAGACAATCAGTTCCAGAGTTGAACTTGGGGGACAGGCGGTGGATCGCTGGCTGGCACAAGCTACCACCGGATGCGTATACTCCCATCTGCCCATTCAGGCACGTAAACAACGGACCAGGCAGATGCTGGGACACTCCATGGTGAGGGGTGGCGAGGGAGGTGGAAAGGGCGGGGGTGGCGGGCGAGGCGGCCGCGGCGGCTTTGGTGAAGGAGGTGGCGGCGGGTAGTTGCACTTGGGGCAGGGTGGACATCCGGCGACAGGCGAAGGTGGCGGGCATGTGTTGATGGGAAGTACGGGTGGGGCTGGTGGACATGCAAGAGGCGGCGGCGCTGGTGGACATGGCACAGGTGGCGGACAAGCGAGTGGTGGCGAGGGTGGTGGCGAAGGTGGATCAGGAGGTGAAGGGGGCATCAAAGGTGCTGGGGGGGAAGGTGGCGACGGTGGCAGGGGGGAGGGCGGCGGAGGGGAAGGCGGCGGCGGCTGCGGGGAAGGCGGGTGT